CAAAAAACCATGCGGCGGGATGTTTTAGGGTCTAGGGATTAGGGTTTAGGGTTTAGGGGTTAGGGTTTAGGGTTTGGGGTTTACGGTTTAGGGTATTGATTTTAATGCTAGCATCAGATACCAGGAGTCGTTCGAGGATCTTGACAGGCTATCAATGGACCCTGAGAACCCCATACCCCTTAATTAAGGAATATACCTTAAACTCTAGGGACTTTAATATTATGCTTTAAAGGATATTCCTTAATTTTAGGTTCTCTGGGGAAGCCCTATGGATATTCATTAGGTGAGCTCTTGTTATTATAAGGATCGTAGTTTAAGTGACCATAACAAGGAACCCCTAGCACGTACTATAGATGCCCATTACACCCTACACCCTAAACCCTGAACCCTAAACTTGGGTTTGCAAGAGACTCAGCACCTGGAAACCTGCACTTCAAGAGGCCACTGCCTGGTCCGAATTAGCTTGGGTTTAGGATTTAGGGTTTAGGGTTTAGGGTTTGGGGTTTAGGGCTTAGGATTTAGGGTTTAGGGTTTGGGGTTTAGGGTTAGGGTTTAGCTTCAGCGCGGTTTAGGGTTTATGGAACCCCCCCCAAAAAAAAAACGAAAGACTCAAACCTTGACGGCTACCGGCTACTAGTTACTGGTACGAAAAATCTAGCAATTGTATCACTACTTTTGTAATTAATCGCTATTGCTCTTGTCGGGCTTATGATTCTTACTTTATTTGGACGGGTTACTGGTAATTGCTATGATTGTCGTTTCTTTGCAATCGTTTTGATAATTAGAAAGGTGCATACCAAGTTTACTCCTCAGCCCTTATCTAGAAGAGCTGGAGGTGCAGGTGGAGCGCGACCGTCTATGGGAGACAGCGCAGGCACAGATCTACTACAGGGGCTTAGTTAATTACCAATACTATTTTGGGGTTCCTTGTTGTAGGTATAGTATAGAATATTCCCCAAAATCCGATTCTAATCATTAAGGCCCCGTTTTGGGGGTTTCGAGAGTTTTGAGGATCAGGAGCACTTCGGGCCTGAGAGTGCTGATGTGGCTTCTATGTTTGCAGCATGGTGCTGGTGCTGTTTAGGATATCTGGTGTCGCAGGTCTAGACCTCGTGTTGGGTTTTTGGGATTTCTGGTCAAAACCCGCAGACATGAATGAGAATATAAACTGACATAGGAACGGCACGAACTAGTCATCATGATCAGCGAGAAGAAATTCGAAGCCACAGCAACAGATTTAGGAAGAAAGATCGCTATCACAACCATAGATCCTTGATGCCATGAGAGCACACCCGGGCATCGGCTTCGGCGATGAAGTTCGGCATCATATAGTATTATGGTTTGGGAAAGTCTCCCGCATAACAGTGCCTAGGACCCTCTGGAGTTGTAGTCAATGCAACCGAGTCTAAAGGGTGGTAGGTCTTCGAAGGCACCTGCCAGAAACCCCAAACCCAAAAAAACTACGGTTGATGATATAATTCCTGCATTACCCATAATAAGGAATCTACTACCATAATTCCCATAGTTTAGGGTCCTTAACGTAATGCAGGATTTATATCATCAACCGACATCCCCTGAACCCTACCCCCACACGGTTCTTTAAGAAAGAGAAAATCCTGCTCAAAGACCCTGAATCCTAAACCCCAAAACCCTAAACCCCAATCCCTCAAGTTTAAAGACCCTAAACCCCAAACCCTCAGGTTTAAAGACCCTAAACCCTCAACCCCAAACCCAAAACTCGAAACCCCAGAGCCAGGCCTCACCGACGAGCTCTGGGGGGGGTGGCTCGGAGGGGCGGCTGCGCTCGGCGGGGTGGCCCAGAGGGCGGCCCCAGGGTTTTCGGAGTTTTTAGGGTTTTGGCCTTTCGGGTTGATATGGGGGTTTAGCCCTAAACCCTAAATCCTTAGGGCTGTCGGGGTTTAGGGGTTTTTGGGCCTTTCGGGTTGATATGGGTAGTTCTCTAAATCAGGGTATTTAGGGGTTTAGGGCTGTAGGGGTTTAGGGGTACAGGCTTTTCGTATCAAGGGCCTAAAGGAGAGACCCTTAAAGGGACCCTTGGGGTTACATAGGGGCTTTCTGAGACTATATAAGGGGTATACAAGGGTTATATAGGGTATTAGGATTAGGGGTCCCTTCTAGGGGTCCCTCCTATTGTCCCTTAATCGTAGAAACCGGGGGTCGGCTCAGGGGTTGTAGGGTTTGGGGCGTGCTGCCTTCAGTACGGGGGAAGTTTGGAGTTTAAGGTTTTGTGGGTTCAGGACTTGCGGCAACTACACTGTGTGCATGAGGGGTTTAGGGTTTTAGGGTTTACGACATGAGGTGTATTACGGGACTGCACTCTGTTGATGGAGGCTTGTCGAGTTTGGTCTGGTTCCGACAAATAAGCATCAATGCTCTTCGCGGCGGCGTGCTCGCGTTCCGGGGTTTAGGATTTGGGGCTTCGGGATAAGAGTGTGACAGGAGTTTCAGTGCAGAGCATCGCATTTCGCCTGATTCATGGCGGCACCTCCCCTTGTCCTATCAACAGCTTTCGGATTGCATTCATGTCATAGAAAATCATAGGCTCAAGTTTGAGAAGCAAAATTGCGGCTTTTTGGGGGAGCCTTCGGCTTAGAAGGGCCGTGACCGTGACATCTGAGAAGCTGTGGTGATGAGCTTTCTGTGTCCATGAGGTTCAGAACCTTGAAGCCTGATCCCGGTACCCCTAAGCCCGTTAGGGTTTAGGGTTTAGAATTTCGGGTTTAGGGTTTCGGGTTATTCTAGAAGTCCCACTACGCCCAGGTCATGACGAGCCAAAGCGCCACCATTTCCGAGTTAAAATCGGCAATCGCTTCGGTGGAGGCCATGGGCTTATCCACTTGAAGCTCCCGTTCTGTGGGTGCATTTGGCAAGATCCTTCCGCCAGAAGTGCAGGTGAGGACTAGGTAGAGAGAGCATATGTGACACGATCAGCTCCACACAAGCTTCACCAGAGGTTTTCCCTGAGCATCGTATGCTTTGCCGGGGTCCACCTGTAAGCATCTTCAGCCAACTCGAAGGGAGACCGGAGCCCCCCATAATAATTACCAATACTATTTTGGGGGGCTCCTTACGAAAATGATAGTATATTGGGCCCCAAAACCCGATTCTAATTACGAAGGCCCCTACCAATAGAATTCATTAGAAGCTTCCTGATCGAGAATCCGTGGGACAGGCAGTGATTGAGGAAGCCCGCAGGGAGATGGATCGGAAGCAGCTACGAGAGAGGCGCGGAAGATGTAGGAATCACCGTGGGGCTTTAGGGTCGAAGCAGGAGGGTCTAGGTTTGGGAAATGAATTGCGCAGGGTTCGGGGTCCCACCCTTGTTACAGGCACTTATTTTTGATCTGGTTGGCATTGATTCCTTGGGGTTCCAGCACATCTTGAGCTTCATCTGTTCAGTCTCCTTTCAATCCCCTACGATACGTGCGGAGAATCTCGGCACTAAAAGAGCCCCTCGGTCGTTTGTATCTTTCTCCGGAAGCTGAAGCTAAAACTCCCGAAAACCCCTAAACCTGAGAAAGCCCCCTAAAACCCTAAACCCTAAACCCCTAAAAGACAGTAAGAGACAGCCCCAGAGCCGCCTCGGTGTCACTAGGCGCGCAGCTTACGAACACCTCCACACAGCCATGGACAAGGCTGGACACCCAGATTGAGGCTTTTGGAAGGCTGCCAACCCGAAACCCTAAACCCTAGCTATAATTCCCTGTTGGAAGGCTACCTCTTAGGTTTGAGGCTGACGGGGCGTTCTAGTGTTAAAGGCGTGTAAAGGTCAAGAGCAGCGATTTGGAGTTAAGTTTGTGGGGTTAGGATTCAATACCTCATGAGTCTTGCTTGAGCGATTCAGCAAGGCTGTGACTTTCCGATTACTTGTGGGCGCAAGGCAACAAGGAAGCTGCTTGATAGAGGCTACGCCCAATGGTTCTGTAGAAAGCCCATTCAGGGGCGTAGGTTGTCAACTTTGCAGCGAATGATGAAACAGTCTCCCCGGCTCACCTCATGTTCTACTAGACTACACTAGACTAGACTAGACTAGACTAGACTAGACTAGGGGTTAGGGTTTAGGGTTTAGGGTAGACTACACTACACTAGACTAGACTATACTTGTCTATCCATGCCGCAGTGTGGGGCAGGCGTGGTCTCCGCGAAGCAGACGACCCCAAACCCTAAACCCTGAGATCGCGGCTCATGTTCGGACGTCGTTCGCGAGGGTTGCTCTATTGCAGGCGGCCTCGAAGTAGCAGGAAGCCCTAAACCCTAAACCCTAAACCTCTAGACCCTAAACCCTATACCCCTAAACCCCTAAACCCTAAACTGTGTTCTCGAGATAGGTGGAAAGGCGAGCCCCTAGAAGGTCACCTTCCTTAACAGAGGCCCCTGCAGATACAACGCTGCACCTCATAGGGCTACTGTCCACTGTTGTCGTCGTTGGCATGACTCTTTAATCGGAGTCCTGAGTGATTGCTACAGTGACTGGATGTGTTTATTGTTACATTGGGAGAATGGGCCATATAGAACACCGGGGACATGCAATGCCGTGTTTCTGCCCATCACCGGCTTAGGCTGACGAGGAGCAGCTGGAGCATGCGATCGAGGCAGCCGTATCTGCCGACGTGGACGACGAGGACGGGTGAAAAAAGGGTGAAGGATCCCAAGTCCTGAAAACTGGAGCCCGAACCCACAGTGACCGAAGCAAACTTGCCCCACGACCTTCCCTGAACAGCTCGGTTCTTCTTCTGAAAGCTGTGCCTAGCTTAACTTCCCCATCTCCGAGCTCAGCAGTTCTGGAGTGGGCTCGAGCCTTGAAGCATCCTGGGCCTTGCGTCCACATGCGGACGGACAGGCAGCCTAGTCTTCATGGCTCGCCCAGCAAAGCCAAAGCCAATCCAAGCCCTCGTCCTGGTGGCCTGCCTACTCCTGCGCAGAGCCGGATTGGGCCAGGTTGCCTTCAGCCCTGCCGGCACGTCTAAGGTGGAGAGACAGTTTCGAGAAGCAGGGAACCGAGGGGACTGGGAAGTAGTGCTGCGACTTCACGCTGCATACACAGGTGACACAGGTGAGTCGATGAAGGTCTACCGTGTGGCCATGTTGGCTGCATACTGCAGCAGTCATTACGAGGAAGCAGCAGAGCTATACACAAGGCTGCGCAACTTCAGTGGCTCAACATCCGTGCTACCGCATGGCCTCAAGATTTTCGGAAAGTTGCGGGACAACGACATGGTCAAAAAGATTTGGATGGAAATCGTTCAGAGTGGTGTTCCGATAAGTAAAAGGCGTGCAGCAACACGACTTGAAGTCGCGTCCGACATGGGCGAGATTGTAGGGGCTGCAGCCTTGCTGGACTTCATGTCGAACCGAACCGTCCCTGCTGGAACCCGCCATTACAATTTGGCAATAAGAGCATGCAAGATGTCGAATCATAGCCGCAGGCATGAAGCTGCTGCTTATCTGCTTCAGGCTATGATCCAAAACCGCCTTCAGCCGAAGATCATCACCTTCCAGGATCTGGTCGGGGCACATCGCACAGAACCCTTGCATCAAGTTGAGAATGTCCTGTCTAAGATGTCTGCATGTCGAGTCAGCCCTAACCGCGAGTTTACAGAAGCATGTGTGAATGCTATTCTCGAAGATCGTCTGGTACCAAGACAAGTCCCGGGCAAAGAAGGGTTGGTCCCGTTGATCTCCCAGACCAGCGTCCAGAGGCAGCGGGCAGCACGACTGTTTCTGGAGGACATGGCGTCGCAAGGTATCGATCTTAGCAGCCCTTGTTCCCAAGCCCTGCGCTACTTGCAACAGCGGACCTGAAAAGTGCTGCCGCTGCAGTTTGGTGGACGAAGGCGTTGATTTCACTCAGCTCGGGGCAGCATGCTGACACCCGAGATGTGCAGACGACTTCATTAGATGGTGCGCAAGAGCTTGTCGGACAAAGCACAACTTCGACCGAGCTGTTCGGCCATTCGCAATGGCCCAAGCCTGCAGCCCCTGTGGCTGTCGAGCCCTGTGTATGACAATGACTCCCTGGCCGACAACCTCAAGCAATCTGATCTAGTGCATGCCAAAAAGTTCAATCACTGCTTCGCATAGCAGCAGCTTGATTCCCATCAGGCATATTGTAAAGACTAAACCCTACACCCTAAACCCTACACTCTAATCCGGCCCTAAAAGGAAGCAGGTTCCAGCGTAGTGAAGAGGACCCTCAATCTTTTCAGCCGAGACAGACCACGGAATTCGGACTATCACCCGGCCAGATGCCTTGGAAGGCTAAGCCCAACATAGCATCAATAGCAATACTAACAACAATAGTAATATCGATAACCATGACAATAAATGGATCCTGAGCTCAGCTTTGAGTGACGCTGAAAGCCCAAGAATCTCTCTGCAGCCTCCTTTCCTTATCATCTAGGCAGCCCAAGTGTGATTTGTCGCCGACTTGTGTATACGTACACCTTGGTTGCTTGCTACGTCTCATGCCAACTTTGTCTCACCCGCAGCTTGACTGCTCAAGACCCACTCTGCTTGAGGTCCCAGCAAAAGGCCCGCTAACGCTAGGGTAGTGTAGGTGCTTCCTTTTCTGCTGTGCAGTCAACCTAACGGAACTAGACTCCGATTTGATCTCAACCACTGCCTGCTCTGCTTCTGCAGTTGCCTTGCTTGCTGGGTATACAATTGGTTGCGCCCTGCTTTGTGACCGAGAATTAAGTGGATTTTTCTGCTTTTCCCACCAAGCATGGCTGCTGTATGCTGCTGTTGTATTTGTTGCAAGACGGGCCAGAACGATGTAGGCCAGCCGGCTAACCCAGATCCCGTAATCGCACACAGGAGTTGCAGAAAACAAGAGACCCCAGTATAGCCCCCCCCCCCCCACAGTAAGATCCTTAAAAGCTCTAAACCCTAAACCCTAAACCCTAAAACCTTATAAACTCTCGCGAGACAGGACATCCTCAAGGCCCAGAACAAGTTGCTAGAGCTGCAGATGATGACTCCTGAGGAGAGGGTTTGTGGATTCAGAGTTTAGGTTTTTTTTTTCCGGGTTGGGGTTTAGGGTTTAGGGTTTCGGGTTGGGGTTTCAAGTCAGGGTTTGGGGGTTATGTCGAGTTTGAGGATCTAGCCTTCGACAACCTGCTTCCGGGCTCCCGGATGTAAAGTACAAGCAAGACGAATTACGAATACTATTTTTTCAATTTCCTTGTTATAATCATTCTATATTATACTCCCGAACCTTAGTGCAAGTATTCAGGCCTCATATTTAACAGTGTTTAGTTGGGTGCCGGAGGCCTAGGGCTTGCTGACTCGACCGAGCCGTTCGAGGCCCGAGTATGAAGAGTTACTAATCGCTCCCAGCAGCTTGACTGCCCCTACACCCTAGAACCCCGCAGCCCGAAAGAGTCAAACTCAAGCCTTGAACCCTAGATCTGAAACCCTCAAGCCCTTACGCCTAAACCCTAAACCCTACACCCTAAACCCTACACCCTAAACCCTAAACCCCACACCCTAAACCCTAAACCCTACACCCTAAACCCTAAACCCTACACCTAAACCCAAAACCCCACACCCTAAACCCTAAACCCTACACCCCATAAACCTTAAATCACAGCTGCCCAAGCCCGGAAACCAGAAGCCTCCGAGCCTCCGGCCGGCCAGGAGAAAGCCGCAAAGGCCGAGCGTGTAAAGCACCAGCAGCAGAAGAAGGATGCCTTCCAGTTCGTCAGGGACCTAATTATACGGGTATTATAAGGGGTTACTATTTGGGGTTGCATTTTGGGATGCCTTCCAGTTCGTCAGGGACCTAATTAAGTTAAAGGGGCTTCTATAAGGGCATTAATGAGGGTTTTTTTATAAGGGGTTTAATTGGGGTTGATTGGGGTTTAGGGTCAGGGACTTAATTATGAGGGTATTGTAAGCGGTTACTATTTGGGGTTGTATTTTACTATTTGGGGTTGCATTTTGGGATGCCTTCCAGTTCGTCGGGGGCCTAATTGTAAGGGTATTCTAGCCAAAAGGGCTTCTATAAGGGTATTAATGAGGGGTTACTATAAGGGGTTTAATTGGGGTTTATTGGGGTTTAGGGTCTGGGTTTAGGGCATTAAAGTTTCCAGGGTAAAATAGTAGTTCGTCGGGGGCCTACTTATAAGGGCATAATAAGGGGGGGGGTCATAAGCCGACTTAACTTCAGGGTACTATAACTATAAGAGGTTACTGTAAGGGTTTGGGATTTAGGGTTTGGAGTTCTATTTTGAGATGCCTTCGTCAGGGACCTGGTTACGGCTTATTGGGGAGTAGGGTTCAAGGTATTATGGTTTAAGGGTAAAACAAAGATATGACGGGTTAATATAAGGGTTTGCGGTTGTATTTTGGGATGCCTTCCAGTTCGTCAGGGATCTAATTATGAGGGTATATTATAAGGGGTTACTATTTGGGGTTGTACTTTACTATTTGGGGTTGCATTTTGGAATGCCTTCCAGTTCGTCAGGAGCCTAACTGCGGGTTGTTATGAGGGCATTATAAGGGACCCTTTTACTCAGGGGTGTTATAGGGGTTTGGGGATGTAGTTTGGCCGTGCTTGTTAGGGGGTTTAGGGTTGACGCTGATTTGGAGGTTCGGAGATGTGACAAGTGTTGTTCAAGAGCTTTTATGGGCACCTTCACTTACGTCCACGTGGTCCTGCAAACCGGACGCTAAACCATAAACCTTAAACTGAAGGTGATTGGTTTCGAGAGGCGTTTGGATCCAGAGGGCTCGGCTCTGCTTTGTTTCGTCAATCTCTGGTACCCTGGGGGCAGGCAACAAATCCTCACCACTATAAACCCTACTCAACCCAACCCAAACTTGACCCTAAACCCTGTCAACCCCACGAGACTCAACCCTAACCTGACCCTATACCCTAAACCAACAAAGCCGGAAGGCAAGCTAAAACCCTAAACCCTAAATACCCTAAAACCCTAAACCCTAAATACTCTAAAACCCTAAAACCCTAAAACCCTCAAGCCCTAAGAAAACCCTAAACCGATCGATCCCCGGAAGCCCTGCAGAGTTTCCCTGGGCTCGTGTTAAGGAGTGTAGTTTAAGTCACCATAAGAGTGATCTATAGTAAATAGTATGGGCTTCCCTTTGTTATGGTAACTTAAAGTAAATCCCAACAACCCTTAGCCCTAAGCCCTATTATGATACCGCCAGAACCCTTAAAGTAATAGGGATCCATAGTTGACGCTAACTTAAAGTGATATTTTAACAGCAGCCTAATTAAAATCCTAATATCCTAATATTTCATTAGCAGCCTAATTACAATCCTGATATTTTATTAGCAGCCTAATTAACATCCTAATATTTTATTCGAAGCTAAAGTAAATCCCTTAACAAGAACCCAGTTTCGCTGAGAGGTTTCAGGCCCTGAGGTCCCTGAGCCCGTGGAGTCCCGGAGTCCGAAGCCCTAAACGCCCTCCTGTTTAGGGCTTTTAGGGGTTTTGGGGTTTTGGATTTAGGATCTTAGGGTTTAGGGTTTTAGGGCTTTTAGGGGTCTTAGGGGTTTAGGAATTTTTTGGGGTTTTAGGGGGCTTAGGGGTTTTAGGGGTTTTAGGGTTTCAGGGTGTTGGATTTAGGATTTTAGGGGTTTTACGGTTTGGGGCTTTTAGGGGTTTTAGGGTTTCAGGGTTTACGGCTTTTAGGGCTTTTGGGGCTTTAGGGTTTTAGGGTTTACGGCTTTTACGGCTTTTAGGGCTTTAGGGTTTTAGGGTTTAGGGTTCAGGGTTCAGGTTTTTAGGGCTTTAGGGTTTAGGTTTCAGGGTAATCCCCAAGGCCTCAGGTATAAAACCTTAATCCCGAAGGCCGTAGCTTGAGGGTTTCAGGGCTTTTCGGGCTTTCAGGGCTTTTGGGGTTTAGGGCGTTTTAGGCGTTTCAGGGCTTCTAAGGCTTTTAGGGGTTTAGGGCCTTTAGGGTTTTTTGGGTTTAGGGGCTTGTAGGGGTTTAGGGCTTTTAGGGCTTTTAGGAGTTTACGGCTTTTAGGGTTTAGGGTCTATAGTTTTGGGTTGAGGGTTTTAGGGCTTAGGGCCTTTAGGGTTTGTGCTTCTAGGGCTTTTGCCACCACTCATCCAGGTCAAGAAAAATGACGTCGAGGGGCTGGCTGCGCTATTGGACTCCCTGGAGGAGGATGTCCACTGGCAGGACATCCTATGCAGGGACGGAGATTCCTGCTGCTACACCCCAAACCCTAAACCCCTCTACATTCACAATTTGTTTGCATGATTGCGATTAGCACGGTAATTGTTACAATACTTAATGCCTGTATATCCTGCAGATATGGTCAGTATAGCAAGGATGTATAGCATGACTGCTGTGCTAATGGTTTGGTCGAATGTATCCGGTGCACCCACCGACTATTATCGGATAAGCTAGCTTCTAGATCAAGCTGAACCCCTAAACCCTAAACCCTAAACCCTAAAAACCCTAAAAACCCTAAAACCCTGAACCTAAAAAAACTTAACCGAACCCTAAAAAACCACGAAGCTCGGGAATGATTCCATACCAGCTGTGGGGTTCCTCGCAGCACGCGAGTTAGCTTCCCTACGCTCTAAACCCTTAGACCCTACGAAACCTGAAACCCAAATTCGCTGGAGTCCTGTGCCCTATTGAGGCAAATCCCGAGATCCCATAGACCTTGAAGTTTCTATCCCCCCAACACTTAAAGCACCCGGACTCTTAAACCGCAACCCTCGCCCATCCACCTTTTAGGGCTTAGCATTTCGGGCTTAGGGTCCGGATCCAAATCCTCTACCCGTAATTCTGAAGGCTACAGGAACTTACGGAGGGTATGGCCAGGTCCAAAAACCAAACAACCGAAACCCGCAACTTCAAGGTCGAAGCTCCTAAACACCGAAACCTAAAAGCTAAACCCCTACATGGGGTTTAGGGTTTAGGGTTTAGGGCCAGGACCAAATAAAAGCCTTCAGTTGAGTGGCTTAACTTCCAAAAACTTGATTAGCCTGAACCCAACCCTAAACCCTAAACCAACCCTAAACAAAAAAATCCTAAAACAAAGGAAAACCTAAGCGCTCAGACTCCATTCCTCAACCCGAAGAGAAAGAAACACCAACCCGGCTCACCTTTGAGAGATGATGAACACCTTGAGCTTAAACCCTAAACGTACCACTACCAGCAAGCTCCTACATAAAACGAACGGCCCGTAAACCCTGAACCATAAAAAAGCTAGCAACGACCATTTCCATTTTCTGACCATGCACCACCCCCTAGCCCCCAAACCATAACAACCGAAACCTCAACCCCAAACCCACCCAAAAAACCCATAGTAAGACCCACATGATGAAAACCATACTAAGGAACTAACCAGAACCCCATAGGAAACCACAACCTCAAACCCATACACCAATACCCCCATTGAAAAACCATACTCCCCAACCCGAAATCCCTAACCCTCGAAAATGGAAATGGTCATCTCTAATAAAGATAACGATAATAGGGATAAGGTTTAGGGAGAAGGTAAGCTGACAATGTGACACTACACTTGACGCATTTACCGGCTCGCGACTGCTTTCAGATTGACTCATGCATTTTCGCAGGCTAGGGATTTCGGGTGGATACTATCGGTTTTTGTATCGGGTGAGTGGTGGTGTGGAGTTGAGGTTGGGTTTCTTCTATGGGGGTCTTCCTATGGGTCTTCTGGTGGTTCCATCACGTGGGTATTCCTATAGGTTTTTTGGTCAATTGGGGATTGAGGTATAGGTTGTTATGGTCTGGGTCCTAGGTAGAAAATGGAATGGTCATGGCTAGCTAAACATACCCTAAACTCACAAAAAATAAACCTAAACCCTAAACTTAACAAAACATAAGCCATAAACCCTCAACCCTAAACCGAATCGACACCACAGGATTGGCGCGACTATGCGGGCCGGACGTTGGTTCGCTGCGCGGCGGATTTGCGGTCCGAGCTTGTGCAGAAGGAGATCATGCTGGCTGGCTTTGGGGGTTTAGGGGTTTAGGGGTTTAGGGTTTATGGGTTTAAGGGGTAAGGGTATAGGTATAGAGCCGTTCGAATTAAGCTCCTTTGGCTTGGGGTATGCGGTTTATGGTTTAGGGTTTCCTTGCTTCTGATATCGGGGACTTGAATATTGTGGTTACTTATTTCCTCTTTTCCCTCGTCTCCGCAGACTTGCCACGTTGAGGGCTTCAGGGTACCAGGTTCTTTGGCGGAAGGTTCGGGACCCTAAACTTTAAACCCAAAGCCCTAAACCCTAAAATCCTAAACCTAAAATCCTGAACCCTAATACTAAAATCCTGAACCCTAAACCCTAAACCCTAAAACCCTAAACCCTGAACCCCAGACACTAAACTCCCGAAGTTCACTGGCTTGAGTTCTCGATTTGAGGGCCTAGGGGTGTTTAGGGTTTAAGGTGAAGGCTTAGCATTTAGGGTTTAGGGTTTAGGGCTCAGGGTCAGGGTTTATCAGTTTCCTCGCAAAGATGGGTAGTGTCTACTAATTACCCTCATTTCTGCTGGGACAGCTCCAGGCCCGAGGGGTGAAATTTCCTTGCTAAACCCGCAGGCCGAAGGCTCCATGTATCTATAGCAGTAGGTTCATGGGCCTTTAAGTACCTATATAGGAACCCATTTAAGGGTACATGGAGGCCAAGTCAAGTCTTCGCCTCGACCCCAAAGCACTAAGCCCTCGAACCTCGCCGCAAATCGTTCGCTCGAGATCCGAATAGTGCGAAGCAGTCCCCAAAAAACTATGATATAGCAGTATTATGCCATCCCCCCCCCCCCAAACCTTAAACCCTAAACCCTATTCATTGCTGCTTGGGTTGGAGCTGTTAGGGATGCTCTTGGCCCAATCTTGCCCTCTCTTCCGCGAGTTCTCCGAAATCCAAAGACTGAAGCCCACCTAAATCACCTAGACCCTAAACTTTAAAAACTTCCCTCAATCCCCATAATTAGCCCTAAACCCTAAGCTCCCCTAAGCTCCCCTAAGCTCTTAAGCCTAAACCCTAAACTCCCCCAATCCCGAAACCCTTAACCCTGAACTCGAACCTTCCCTACTAATTACCTAAGACCTATTGCTAAAACTGAAGCCCTCGTTTGGAGGAGTTGGCTGAGCGAACTAAGGCTGGGTGGCCTCTTGGGGGGGCTTCTGGGGTTTGGGTTTTTAGGGTTTAGGGTCCATAGGGGTTTAGGGTTACGGATTTAGGATTCGTCGGACTTTAGGATTCATGAGGGCTTGGTGTTAGTAGGGGTTTCGGGTTCGGGATTTCTTCTTACGATTTGCATGCGGACGACTGAGGGCTTCGGAGTGTGGACATGGAGATAGCCTGACACTTCCAGGGCCCTCGTGATCATCTCATGATCTTCTCTTTCACTCCACCACCAACATCATCATCATCATCAGCATCACCTCTCTTGCCGCTTACCCCTCGCCCTGGCTTCCTGCCGAAGCCTCCGCCAGAAGCCTGCGCTCCTTCCGGCAGCGCAGCCCTTTGCGCGGCAGGTGACGCCACAGGCACGGTGATTAGGATAGGAAGCTTGAAACATCAGACCACGGGTTTTCTTTGGGTGGCACTTCTATAGTTGTACAAGGAAGCCCTGCTAGATGATGCTGCCGGCTATTCAGAGTCCTATATCTGTTGCAGTGTCGGACGTGCTGCGCTGCAGTGTACAGTCGCAATGATGAAAAGAGGCATGCTGACAAAGCGTGGGTCTTGCGTGCTGTTGTGCAGGAGATTTGTGTATGCAGTCTAAAGCCACACGGTCGAACTAGCTTCGCCTTTGCCGTATACTTATAACCAACAAGGATACGGCTACAGGAGTCCTCATGAGGGGCCCCTCGTCTAGTGTTTCTTGGCTTCGTGCCGCATGTTGGCACAGGACACGAGATCCGAAGGAACGTGCTTTCCGTGCGCCCTACCATTCACTCGATGCAAATCTGCCGAAATTTGAAGGATGTATTGAACAACTCAAGCCTCTTGAGCTATAGGTTCCAAGCATAGATAGCGGGACTGCTAATGCCCTGCAAAAGCAGCTGCACAAAATATCGAGGTTGCTGCTGCCTCTTCAGCCACCAATCACCAACTCTCACCCTAAATCCGAGACCCTTAACACTGAAACTGAACTGGTAGAGGGCTTAGGGCTCTCCATCCTAACTCTCGAACCCTGCTACATGGGCGACCCTGGGAGCACTGCTCCTTGACCGTCTTCACCCTGGATTGGATTTGTAGTGGTAGTAGTGGTAGTAGCAGCAGTAGTAGTAGTAGTACTACTACTACTACTACTACTGCTACTACTATTCGATTGTTTCAGTCCCTAGAAATCCTATGAAAAAGGAGAACACCCGACTCCAATCATCCAGGACCCTCTAGTTAGGCTTAAAGGGCTCAGGATTCTACTGCATTCAGGACCCTCTTGTTAGGGTCTAGTGTTTAGGGTTTAGGATTTAGGGTTTAGGGTCTAGGGTAGGCCTCAAGGCACCTAGGGGCCCGAAGATGTGACGAGGACTCCCCGCCCAAGCCCATGGCAATGTCCTCTGGCGCTTTGACAGCGCGGGGCCCGAGTAAGGCCAAGGCGCCTTAGGGCTTGAAGCCACCTCTAAGCCGCAGACCTGGAAATTAGGGGCTTGGGGTTAGGGTCTAGGATTTAGGGTTTAGGGGTTTTGGGTTTAGGGTTTAGGGTTTAGGATGCTTTGACCCCCTGGATAGCAGCAGGCTTAGATAAGATGGAGGCCAGAGTAGAAGCATTTTCACCTGTCCTGAATATACTAATACTAGATGCTGCTACAATACAACCTCAAACCCTATTCTAATCATGAAGGCTGTATTGAGTTACAAAGGCCCAAATTAAAGCGATTTGCTCTACACTCTATACCTTTCAGGATTATCCTAGCTGCGTACAAAGGGGCTCTGCAAGACCCAAACACACCATTACGCAAGAATGATAGAAGTGCCATCAGATGGTGAGAAGAACCGCTAGATGTAGCCAGCTTACTGCTTGTCCCTAAACCTTATCCCTCCAAGGGCCCTGGAACCTAAACCCTGAGGTGTTCGAAGAGACCCTAAATCCTAAACCCCAAGAGAACCTAAACCCTAGACCCTAAGAGAACCTAAACCCTAAAGCCTTAACCCTAAGAGAACCTAAACTCTAAACCCTGGAGAACCTAAACCCTAAGAGACCCTAAACCCTAAACGCTAAGAGAACCTAAACCCTGAACCCTGAGAGAACCTAAACCCTAAACCCTAAGAGAACCTAAACCCTAAACCCTAAGAGAACCTAAACCCTAAAGCCTTAACCCTAAGAGAACCTAAACTCTAAACCCTGGAGAACCTAAACCCTAAACCCTAAGAGAACCTAAACCCTAAACGCTAAGAGAACCTAAACCCTGAACCCTGAGAGAACCTAAACCCTAAACCCTAAGAGAACCTAAACCCTAAACCCTAAGAGAACCTAAACCCTAAACCCTAAGAGGACCGAAACCCTCACCCCAGTATTCAAGGTTTCTGGCCGCCCGTCACTGGGTTCAGAGTCCCGCAGCGCCGCCGGGGAGGTTCCATGGCTGCGGGATTCGGCTGTGAGTCGTGGGCTTCGACGAACCCCAACGGGATAGGTACTAGAGGGGTCTGAACAATTGGTACTAGTATTCTCGTACAGTCCGTACTCTAACTACAGTAATCAATTGTATGAAAGACTCCAAAAGCCTTCTTGGAGTTATTGGAATCCCCTAGTTGGCTCGGAGCGGAAGGATGGAGAGCTTGTTAAGACCTTGGGTTTGGATTGCAAGACTTTGGTGTCTCCGCCGCGGCTTTTTTTGTTCCGAGCTCGCAGGGCTCTATAGCAGCACCTTCACTTATCGTGGCCTGGCGTCTTAGCCTCTGCAGTCTGCAAGCTACGTGGTTTTTTTTGGGGGTTTTGAGGCGTAGAAGGTTGCGGGGCCTCGCCGTGGAGTTACGTTCTTGGCAGCAGCGTGCAACCCCAAGCCCCCAGTTTCTGAACGTAGCCCTTTACGGCTGCTGAGGACCAAGACCGACAACTAGAGCCGAGGATATCAGCTGGGTCGCGCTGTATTCCGTTGATGGGGTTCAGGGGTTGGGGCTTCATTCAGCGGCAAAGAAACCCAAACATGCTCCCCAAGGCGTCCGATACCCACAGACCACATCGCACTATGAAGCGCAATTGCCATCTCCTCCAGGGGGCGCGATCGCCACCAGCGGTTTTTGTTAAGGCAGGGCGTTCGTCCGATGAATACTTGTGTGCCTGGCTTCTTAGATTCTTTGGGATGTTGGCAACTAAGAGAGCTTAAGCCTCCCGCCCCAAGACTGCAAAAGCTTCCGACTCGACTTAGACCTTACACACGCTCCGCGGTAAACTTCGCAGACTTCCCACTTGACTTGCATCTCGGCACGTGGATCTCCGAAGCCCAAGTCTCCCTTGGCGGGGACTGTCCGGAGACAAAACGATGATAGAATACTCATCTGAAGATACAGCTAGCAGTCAATTGGTTCCCTTCTAGCCGCTATCGTGAGCGAGTGTCAATATACATAGGAAGCTGGGCCTTCTTTTCAAAAGCACCGTGAATCCTTGAGAGTTACAAGTGCGCGTAGACTCTTCACCGCTGTTCACTTGGGGTTGGATCACAACCTCAGTTCAGGCTCCCGGTCAACAAAGCGACCTACTGACATGGAAGCAAGCACTGGCCCCTGCCTCTTCAGCCCCCCCAAACCCGGCAAAATCCCTAAACCACAGACCCATCTATAAACTTTACTTTAAGCCCTCTAAGCAGCTTCGTTTTAACCCTTAAAGGCGACCCTATAGCGACCCTTTTGAAAGACTTAAAGAGCTGAGTAGCCTAAAGCCCTAAAGTCTGAAGCTCGAAGCCTCGGGAAAAGCTGGCGGCGCGCTTACAAAGAAGCGGACTCCCGTAAGGGTTCCTTACATACGTACATACATACATACATACATA